TCAAAGGTATTCTTTAAGAAGAGGAAGAAGAAGAAAAAGGTAAAGAAAAAATTTTGAACAAGTACATATCTATCAACAAGTGAATCTAAAAATCAAGTGAATAAAAATTCTGATGAACAGAATAAACCTGTGAATATAACAGAACCAGGGGCATAGAAAGGGAGTGGACTGACAATTCTCACGGGGAAAGGGGTATGGGGGGTGCAGGAAGAGACTGGACAAAAATCGTGCACCTATGGATGAGGACAGGGGGAGGGGGTAAGGGCATAGGGTGGGGTGAGAACTGGGTGGAGGGGAGCTATGGGGGAAAAAAAGAGGCACAACTGTAATAATCTGAACAATAAAGATTAAAAACAATTCAATGAAAAAAAATTAAATATGGTTCAACAGTTTGGGCAACTTACAGCCAGTCTGTGAACTGCAAGACCTTATCTTCCCTCACCAAGGATGCTGGAGAGCAGCTGGTTCATAACCAGAGAACACCTAGCTTACCTCACCCTGGCCTGGGACAACAGAGGACACAGACACTATGAACGCCATGTGTGCCAGCTCAAGCCAGGGACAGATGGAAGTGGGTAACAAATAACAAAACCCCATTAAAGCCAGACAGACCTAAGATAACAGTAAAATAGACCAAAGAACAATCCAAAACTCCCATCCACACTTATTTTGATGCCTCAGCATAGTAAAAATGCACCTGGAATGCTGATGAATATTCTGTTGAAACCCTCCCCTAAGATTTTCACCTGAAGAAAAAAGGATAAAAAGCCCCCAGGACAAAGACTCTCTCTAGGACATGATCATGCCCCTTCTCAAGTGTGAACTTTCTGTCTAAGGGTCCCCATGAGACTCGCAACCAGGGGCTCCTTGGGCAGTAGCAACTCGACCCAGGCTCAGTCTCTGGCCCTGTCTCCAAGGCCCCCTTTTCCTCTGACTTCCCAGGGAGCCAACGCAGCCCTGCCCAGCCCACTTCCATCACTGTGACTTCAACTTCCTAGTGAGCTGACAGCCCAGGCTCACGTCTCTCCTAAAACATTTCTGGAGAGCTAAATAGAGCGCTGCCTAGGTTCTCTCCTGTCGCTGCTTCTACCCCAAGTCCTTCCTTTGTGTCGCTGTCCCTACCTTTCATAAACACTCTCAAACCCATCCGGACTCATGGTGTGAGATCTTCCCCACATGAAGTCAAGAACCCACAGGCGACAGGCCGGCATTCTGGTAACACTGGGATTAGTAACTCATACTGCTTGAGCAAAAATTGGTTGATTTGAATTGCCTACTTTTACATCAAGTACTCATTATATTATCCAGCCCAGTAAACAGGATAATCCAAAGAATGAGAAGACTGCTTTTTCCCAATTTTAAAATTGGTTGTATCAGAGTGCTAAGTGAACATCCTTGCTGTGTTTTCAGTCTTAGGGTGCTCATGACATCTTTTGCCATTATGTTTGCTGTAGGCTTTATATATATAAGCAGATGCCACCGATCAGGCTGCGATAGCTCCTTTCCTTCCCTAGTTTCTGACACTTTTTATGTATATGAGTGTGAAATGTGGATATAAACATGTGGCTTTTCTTCTTGACATTTATTAATTCATGGGTAACATTGATTTTCAAATATTAAACTAGCTTTTTTACATTTATGAAATAAACCCTACTTGTTCATGGTAGTCTTTCTATGTATTCCTGGATTCTATCTGGATATTTTGTTGAGGATTTGTGTTTCTGTGTTCATAAGGGATATTAGTTTCTTGTACTTTTTCTGATTTTGGTATTAAGTGTAATAATTGTTTCATAAATAGAATTGGAAAAAGCTCCTACTTCTATACTCTGAAAGAAATTCTATAGAATTGATGCTATTTGTTTTTTTAATTTATTTTTTAATTACAGTTTACATTCAATATTATTTTCTGTTAGTTTTAGGGGTACAGGAGAGTGGTTAACCAATCATATACTTTACAAAGCATTACCTTGATATTTCCAGTACCCACCTGGCACCATATAAAATTATTACAATATTATTGCCTACGGTGTACTTTACAAGAATTGATGCTACTTCTTTTGGTAGAATTTATCAGTGAAATTGTCCCGGCGTGGTGTTTTTTTTTTTGGAGGTTTTAAACTATGCACTTTCATTTTGCCTTTACATTGGTTAGTATGTGTCACCCATTTTTAATTTATGGTCACTCTGCCTGGAGGCTTACCACTTTGAATCATTTTTCAAAGAACTAGCTTTTGGTTGCGTTCACAGATTTTTCTCTGTTGTGTTTCTGTTTGCAGTTCCTTTTCTTGTTTTGTTAACTTAAATGCTGTTTGCTCTGAGTTTACTTTGCTTTGCTTTTCCTAATTTATTGAGATACAAACTTCAATTATTGAACTGAGATCTTTTTCCATTTCTAATGTAAATTTTGAAGACTATAAATGCCCGCGGAAACACTGCCTTCGGTGCACCCCACAGGTTTTGATATGTTGTATTTTCCTTTCATTTAGTTTAAAATATTTTCTAATTTCTTCTGCAACTTTCATCTTGACTGATGGGTTTGAGAGAAGTGTGTTGTTTAATTTCCCAATGTTTATAGAGATATTCCTATTATATTTCTGTTATTAAATTATAATTTAATTTCATGATGATCAGAAAACATACTCTTCATTATGTTAAATCTCTTAAAACTGTGAATGGTGTGTCTTGGTGAATGTTCCATGTGTCCTGCTTTTATTGGGTGCATGCTCTCTAAATACCAGTTAGATCTAGCTAGTAGTTTGCGGTTCTTTTATTAATAATTTTCTGTCTCTGTGTTCTATTGATCACTAAAGGAGTAATTGGTTGGTTACCAGCACAACTGAATGAGCATATGTTGTTTTGAAGCAGAGACCCCGTATTTATTTTTATCTGAGGGGGTAGTGGGAGTTCTTAACCTCAGTGTTCAGGGAAGTGTGCGGATTTAAGGTTGCAGGGTCATTAACTCAGATGTCTCCATCTAATGAATTAGGGCACCGCTCTTATAACAGGAGGTGTGATATTGGCAGAGCAGATCTGCCTTGGTTGAGAGTTTGATCTTCCTGGAGCTCATCTAATCTGAAGGTTAAACCTTGATCTGAGTACTCAGTTTTCTCTGCCCTTTCATGGCAGGAAATGCTACCAAAGAGGCTCTTGGACTCTCACACTTGGCTTTCAATTTCCTACTAATAACTCTCAGCTTTTCATCCTATGAAGGAAGGAGCTTACCAATAACGCATATCCCCATTGTTCTTTCAGTTGCTATTTCCCCCATTTTTAAAGAATACTTGACTTATCGCATTAGACATGCTTTCTGTTCCTCTGGTATGTTATCCCAGTTCAGAATAGATAAAAAGTTTTACAATTGGACCATTATTTTGTGCCAGAGGTAAGTATTCTTCCTTTACCACCAGTGATGTGGGCCTCACTAAAACCCTATGTGATTGTGTATTTTCTCAAACCTCTCCTGGTACTAACTGTTGCAGGTGGACTTCCTTTGGTACCAACACCTGTGGAAGGGAGAAAAAAATCAGGAGTAGGCAAAGGATAGAAATCAAACTATGATGAAGGTCAAAGGACATCCTCAGTTGACCCAGTGGGAAGTCCTAAAGTTGTTTGAGCGGCATTGAGATGAGCAAACATTTTACTTCTGCATCTGCGAGTGACTGGATGCAGGTCATCTGGGAAGAGTATCACCTCAGGAGAGGAGGATCTCTGCAGCTAAAGCATTCATGAAGACAATGACAGCTGAAGGGGTCTGAAGACAGAGTTCCCGAGAAGCTGGGGTCACCAACTCCACTGAAGGGGGGATCTGGACAGTGCACTCTACCCTTTGATTTTCTGGGACATACATAGCAGCCACAGAGAAAATGTTTGATCCTAGCATAAAGTACCAAGAAGTCCTTTTGAAACAAAGTGAAACACATGTACATGGATTTTAGATAGATTAGATTAGGGATGAAACTTAAAAAAGAAGTTAAGGACAAGTCTCAGATTTCTCTGTTCAACAAATATATAATTGATGGTGTTAGTTATTAAAATAGGGAACACTGGGAGGTTCTGTGGCAGTGGAAGAAGAGGATGTTAATAAGCAACAATAACACTCCTACTAAAACCCAGCATTTATTATTTATTATGTGCCCTTCACAGGTAATTAACCTTCTTAATAACTCTATGAAACAGATCTATTATGACCTTACTTTAGTAATGGAAATACATGAAGAAATAGTGGCCAAAAATTTCTTAAGTTTCATGAAAAATATTAATCTATACATTCAATAATTTAAATGAATTCCAAGTAATTTAAACACAAAAAGATCAACAAGATGAACCGCCAGCTCCTCATGAAATCTGGGCTCCATGTCACAGAGACAGTGGGGTCTGAAGGGCCGTGGTGTGATGTGCTCTCAGGGAGGAAAGAAACATCTGTCAGTGAAGATGTTCACTTTTTATAGTTCATGAACTATTTTGTACTTCTCATTGACAGGGGTGACTTTTTCTTATTTTGGAATGTTAAAAAAGTGAGATTGAACCTTTGGCTTAGGAAATTCAGTTTATTTTGATTTAAGGATACCACGGTTAACCAAACTAGTTTATTAGATAACTATATGAAGATTGAGGTCTTGGTCTAATGTAAGTATTACTCCTTTGCTTGGCCATGTTTTCTTCTGTATTCAGTAGTAGTGACAAAAAGGGGAAGCATTTAGAAGCCAAATATTCTTATAATTTTACCATGAATTCTCCCTCCATACTCATTATATTTCTTTTTATCACATTTACTTCTGTAGTGTGACATGGTTCAGGGGCTACTGTTCAAGCTTAGGAAAGTCAGGGCAGGAAAAAGTCTCAAGGTAACATTCACATGTTTAATTCTAGGCACCAGGAAATAAATCCTTTCTTTTTCATGTTCTCAAAACCTTAAATTTATTCTTGTTGCCATATGTTAGACCAGGTATCCTGTTTACAGTAGTAAGATCTGATGGGCTTTGGTGTAAAAATAGGTAGAATAGCACTTTTGATTTGTTATATAGTTCTAGTCATTAGTTAGCAACACATAAGAGGCAACTGAAGTGCAGGTGGAATGCTAATCATACTAGTCACAACTCCAGTTGGTAGCAAAGGCCATTATGGTCTCAAGATATCCTTCCTCTGAAATATTAGAGATATGCTGACTCAGAGAATGTTATGGACAAAATCTAGAGCCACCCCGACAGAGAACTGGGATGAATGAAAAGAAATTACAAAGAGATAGATGTAGTGGTTTTCTGTCTCAACAGAAATTCTCATATAAAGCATTAGGGATTAAATTACAGAACAATGGACCATTAAATATATATAAATTCTAGGCAAAACTCTGGGATTATGTGAAATTGTGAGTGTGATTTACAGCAATAATTAATAATCTGACTAGTAGGGGCTATGATGTCCTATAAGCCCACATGGTTTTAAAGTCACTTCATAAATGTAACCAAATACATCTAAAGGTAGGACATGTCCATGTGCTTTCTATCATTACAAATAAATTATTACAAATCCATTACAAATAAATTATTTCCTGGTTGGTAGAGGATTCAAAGCTTAGAGCCTAAGATACAAACTAAGATGAAAGAGTTGTAATTTCAATTAGTACCCATTAGATCTTGGTATAATTAAATGATACTTTCACCAAATAATAGAGATAGAAATATGCAAATTAATACTTGCTGGCCTAACATTGAGCCTTCTTTGAATTGTATCAAAAGTCTATGTTACTCACCTTCTTGCCTTTCATGAATATGTTGTACACATTAGACACAATTTTTTGAAAGAGAAAGTTTTGCAATCTCCAGGATGTAGTCTCCAGACAAAAAAGCAAGAGGAGATAAAATAAGCCCAGGACAGCCAGTGAAGTCAAAAACTTTGCAATCCCATTCTCTCCAAAATTATAGACACTGTTATTAGTCACTGAGGATAATAAGAGAGACAGCCTTCCTTTAAAAACTGATGCAAAGTCTACGATGATACCACATGTTAAGAAATACAGATTCAAAGTGCACTTTAAGTTAGATTCAGAGAAGTTTGGAACAGAGGTAGTAATTGTCTTCATATGCTATTTGTCTTATTTGACCTTCCCTGATATTTATAATTAATATGCAAGTTTGCCTGCCAATAATTTTTCTCTACTTTTTACCAGTCTTGACAGGAGATCACCTTACTACATAATAAATGTCAAAGGCTGAGCCTTTGTGAGAAGAATGCTTAGTAATTAAATAAAGAAAGCAAAATAAAGGTATTTATGACATAGCTAACCATTATTGTCGGCCTTGCAGAATATCTGTAAAACTCTTGTTTAAATACTTGTTTTAGAGTTTGGGGTTTTATACTCAGGAATAGAGTTGCTGGGTCATATGGTAATTATATGTTTCGCTTTTTGAGGAACCACCAAACTTTTTCACAGCAGGTGCAACATTTTATATTCCTACCAGAAATAAATGAGAGTAACAATTTCTTCATATCCTCACCAAACTTTTAATACTTTCCATTTTTTTAATTATAGCCATCCAAGTATGTGTGAAGTGATATGTTTTTTTAGGGAATACATTTGACATGTAACATTGTGTAAGTTTAAGATATACGTATGTTACTTTGAAACATTTATGTATTGTAATGATTGATGATGTAGCAATATTTATCACATTACATCATTACAGTACAATATTATTGCCTATATTCATTATATAGTCATGCATCACTTATTGACAGGGATGTATATATTCTGAGCAATGTGTCACTAAGCAATTTTGTCATTGTGTGAACATCAGAGTGCACAAACCTAGATGGTATAGCCTACTATATGGTCGAATCTATTGCTCCTAGGATACAAACCTGTACAGCATGCTGCATGAATGCTGCAGGCAGTTGTAACATAATGGTGCACCTACATACAGCCCTATATTAAATGGAGCTTGGAGGACTAGAAGTTGCTTTAGGTGAGTCAATGAGTCAGTGATGAGTAAGTGTAAAGGCCCAGCATATCTCGGTACACTCCTTTAGACTTTATAAATGATGTACACTTAGGCTATGCCAAATTTATAAAAATTATTTTCTTCCTTTAATAATAAAGTAAACTTAACTTACTACAGTGGGGCCTTGACTTACGAGTTTAATTTGTTCCATGACGAAGCTCGTAGCTCAAATTATTCGTATGTCAAATCAAAAAGTGAACAAGTGAGACAAGTGATGCTGGGCTAATGTTGTGGCGTTCACTGTGATGTTCGCTGCGCCAACTAGCGGTGGAGTATCTGAAGCTGGCTTGTAACCCGAATTTTAGCTCGCAACTCAAAGCAAAAAATCGGCTGAGAGATGGCTCATATCTTGAAAAATTCGTTAGTTGGGACACTCATAAGTCAAGGCCCCACTGTATAACTTTTTTATTTTAAACACTAGAGGCCCAGTGCATCAAATTTGTGCACTGGTGGTGGTGTCCCTCAGCTCAGCCTGCACCCTCTCTAATCTGGGACCCCTTTGACATCCCTCTCACAATCCGGGACACTGGCTCCTAATTGCTCGCCTGTCTGCCTAATTGGCCCTAACTGCTGCCTGCCAGCCTGACTGCACCATAACTGCTCCCTGCCAGTCTGATAGCCCCAAACTGCCTCCCCTGCCAACCCGATGGCCCCTAACTTCCCTCCCCTGCCAGTCTGATGGCTCCCAACTGCCTCCCCTGCCGGCCATCTTGTGGTGGCCATCTTATGGCAGCCATCTTGGGATGATGAGGGGCGGCCATCTTGTGATGATGTGAGGGCATTGCACCAAGGCACGAGGGCCACCTAGCCTTTTATTAGTATAGATTTAAAATTGTAAAGCTGCTTGTGTAGCCCGCTCCCATCCAAGGAACAGCAGCCTCCTGATCACCACACCCTCTGACTGAGGAACAGCAGCTGTGTGTGAAGCCTCCCCCCACCAGCCAGAGGAGCCACCACAACTGTGAACAGCACCCACCAAAGGAGCTGCTACCAACTGAGGAGCAGTTGCTACCACAACCGCCTGAGGAGCAACCGCAGCTGGAGGAGTCATTGCCACCCAAGGAGCAGCCACTGAATGACTCAACATCTAGATATAGCAGTATGATCAAACATGGGTAGACAAAGAAAACCTCAAAGGAAAGAAAAGGAGGACTCACCAGAAAAGCAGCTAAGTGATACAGAGGCATGCAACATGACAGAAAAAGAATTCAGATTAAGCGTCCTAGAGTGCATAA